CATTTAAACATTATATAAAGGGATGAAATTCACAATTAATTTGTATCACATTCTGACAAAAAGGTAATCTGAGCATCAGAAACACTCCATGCAGTGAACATTTCGACATTTGCTCTCAAGGAAACTACTGTGTCTTTCCATTTTATAAACTTAGGAACGATTCAGTCGTAATGAGAATAGTGAAAGAGAACTACTTTATAAATCTATTTTCACCAAAACTGAAAAAACATTAATATTTTGATAAGTTCATGTCTTTTTTTGTGTAACTAATTTATTTATACTTGAGACTGAGAAAATCATGATTAATTGTCCAATTCAATTTTCCCTAACTTTTACGTACCACTAGATACTATGACGTTATTGATTTCTTCCTTCCCTGCAAAAACTCTCATAACATCATATTTAACGTTACCAAGCAAAACAAATCAGTTTAAAGTATGTACACATGAAGACGGATTATGAAACCCAGAAAGCGCTTGTGTTAAATGAAATTTGGAAACTGTGCATTTTCTTTTTCTTTTATGATTATTTTTACTGTGTGACATATTTTAACAACTTTTGAATTATATATATATATATATATATATATATATATATATATATATATATATATATATATATATATATATATATATATATATATATATATATATATATATATATATATATATATATATATATCTTGGCTTATGACCAATGAAGATGTGCAAATACTACAAGTCTGTAAAATGATTCTGAAAAATAGAATATATCATCAATGGTTTTGCACCTCCTCAATATTTTTTCCCAGTTTCAGACAAACGTGGAAATGGTATAATATTAATATTTTTCAATAATTTAATTCTGAATATTTACATTTGCGAATGTTTTCTTTATATTACACTACTGCAAGCAACGTGTATCTATATCCGTATAACCACGGGTTCCTCGCGTCATAAACGTTCGACGTAATTTCTCAGTGACGTCATAAAGGGTCGACGTGCAATCAATGGATCAAATACATGCCGCTGAGTTTGAAAAATAAAACATTTCACGCGTTAAAGAATGTAATCAGAAAAATATAAAATATGAATAAGTCAAAAATGTAAATATAAGAAATAATGTATCATTTTTAAACATCTATCGGGATATAAATACGGGTTGGTACGAGATCAAATTTACCATAAAACCCTTCGGGCTTTATGGAATTTGATCTCGTGACCAACCCGTATTTATATCCCGATAGATGTTTAAAAATGATACATTATTTCTTAATTGTAACACGCCATTTGATTGGATAAAAAATTTACTTTATGTAATGTGGTTTGCCTACGTCACAATGACGCGTCAAAAACGTTTCCATCCGCCTGACGTTAAATTTAAATTTTGTGCAATTGGAAGTCTTTTTTTTTCCTTCATTTTTTTAAGGGAGTCATCTTTTTTCATACATTAAATGAAATGAAAATTAAATCATATGCGGTTTATAAAGCGTAAACTGCCCCAACCCACTTTATCCCGTATAAACTGGGTAGCTATTAAATTCATTCCTCAATTAAAACTGACGCATATCATATATTGTAGTAATGTATATTTGACTTAATTGTAGAAATGATTTATATTCCATATTGTAGTTTGTTATACTTCTGTTAAAATGTTTCCTATATAAAGTTAAGAAGGTAAAATAACTATCTTTTATAGTCTGAAAATTTCCACGCATAGCAAAGCTATACCCCGGGGTATAGTTTTTGCTATCCACCCCTCGGAAAATTTTCATGCAAATTTTGCCGCCAATTTTGATTTCCTATCATCAGTCTATAGACTGATGATGTCATCTGACTTCAGTAGCATTGTGACGTCATCAAGATTTCAGCTCATTCTGCAGTGTTATCTTATTCCAAATACTTGCTCAAAACTATTATAATTATTCTTTTCATGTTTTGCCTATGAAACTGTAGTATAAGGTAATACAAACCCTCAGAAATTATGATATACATCAGTATAATAAAACGCTTATCCACTGGCTGTGAGTGGGATAGCTCTTTCATCAAATCCTTGACAGGAACTATTCCCCTCGGGCAAGCCCTCGGGGAATAGTTCCTGTCGCGGGTTTGATAAAAGAGCTATCCCACTCACAACCAGTGGATAAGTGTATAATATATTTAATCATACTGATACAACTTTAACGCCCCCTTTAAGGTCCCTACAATATGTTCATTTCTATACAGGAAAAAAAAAGCTTCTTCATAATCTTATAAAGGCAGCGCTACTGATATTAATAATGAAGCATTCCCATGTTGTGTGGATTCGGAGATCTCTAACAGTCAGGAGTGGGACAATATTTCTTTTTAATTGCTTATCATTCATTAATTTCCTTCAATGTTTATTTCCTCCATTTGGAGAGTTGTTCATGGGAAACGCGATTCCTTATCTTTATGGACCTCTTTCGCGGTGAAAGTAGGAAACGTCTGTTAGCTGGGGGCAATGTGCTGTTGCATACAACGCGAGATCAATCATGGTGGATTTTTAAAGGGCAAATATGAAAGAAGTCCTGGTGAAATATCTTGCGGAACATTCGCTGAACCACGCTTATAAATTTTAAGAGAACCCAGTCCTCAAGTGTTACATTTTTATTGATACTTTTTCAGTAAGCCGACTCTTCTAATTAAATTCTACCATTTCTTTCTGATTATCGTTACATATGGAAGTTAATAAAATTCTAAACATTTCAAATAAGACAGCCTACTTTTTAAAGTTCAACCCTTTGCACCAGTTGTACTTTCGGCATACTAATTGTTCGAATCATTCAGTTGTCACTAGCATAAGTAATTCATGCCCCGGAAATCTCGCGAGATTTAGAGTTTCCTCGACTTCGTCGCAAAAAAGTGGCATTAAGGATGACGTTTACTCAGGTTTCAGAAGATAGAAAAGAAATTTTATAAAGTACAAAATGTTAAATCAAAAATTGTTCTAGATGGAAAAAATAACCAATTTTTAACTCAATATCAATTTAAAAATTCAATATTTTATTATTTGAAGAAAATATGCAAGAACAAAAGTCAATAAATGGTAATGCAGAGGAAATTCGGACTAAATTTTTAATTTTTCATTTTTGTCATAAAATTTTATTTCTTGCAATATCAATTACAAAGTAAAGATTACATGTATCTTTAAATATCATTTGCAAATATAATGTGTGTTAAAGCTCATGAATTATTTCAAATAATTGAATGTAATGAAATAAAGAAATTCAAAAATATGAACAAAAACCATTCCAGACAACATATCTCAATAATTTGATCATTGACATCATATAATATTAATACCATTAGAATAATGTCAACAAAAGTAAACTGAGGCTATAAATAATTTAGAGTTCTTATTATTCAGATTTTTGTAATATTACATTAAAAATGGGAAAAAATAGAAATCTGACAGAGGAAATTTGGGCTGTAATAATTAATAAGTTTATGGCCCAAACTCTAATCTTTTATTTATATGAAGCAATGCTGTTCCATTCCTATTATATTTCATTATTTAAAGAGTTTTGTTGCTTGTAATATTTTGTGAGTAAAGAAAAAACTGGTCATAGTTTGAAAAATTGAGGTATTTTCCAAGAAATACTCAGGGGCCACTAGCATGAAAAGTAGGTCATTGACCTAGTTATTTGGAATTGAAATTTAACACAAAAATTATAGGTGTACAATGTGCAATAGGTGGTTTTTCGTTCTTATTAGTGGAATTTTTTGTCATCTGAGTAAACGTCATCCTTAAGTTAGATAACTGTAAGGTAATCGCGATACAAAGTATTACAACATACGAGGGGTTATCAAAAAGTTCGTGGACTATCGCCATAAAATTAAAACCGCTTTAGGTACATCAATGAATTTTAATACGTTCAGTTAGCATCATCTTTTCTATCGATAGAATAAACCATAAATCATAAGTTTTATTTTTTAATAAATTGTTATTGTTTTTGTAAGTAATGGTATGTCCAAGCGGCACAAAAATTATACTCGCTTAAAGTGATAAAATCTATATAAACTTCATTGTAATTAAATGATAATTCAGATAAAAATTCACTTCTTTACTATATGGCATGTTTAAAACTTCTTGTAAAGGGTATCTTTCTTCGGTAAAAGAGTCCACAAGTTTACAATGTACTTTTTTTCTTATACAATACCCATCTACCCAAAATACTAGCATCCAGTTAGCAATAGGACACACTGTAATGTCATAAGCATTTGACAAACCCTGCTTTCAGTTCATTTGATTTGAACATGTTATGTACTAAAACATAAATTTATTTAATTTATTATGTACTAAAACATAAATGGATTGGGCAGCAGCCACAGGCATAGCCTAGTATATAAGCTCTCTCCACAGGTACAAGGTTCATTCAAAATACACATAATACTTCATATAGTTACAGGTTCATATCGTCAATGAGTCATAGTTAAGTAACACAAAATTGATTGGAAATTAAGCAGAAAAAAGGTGGTGAAAAAGTTGTAAGTGAATACTGGTTTAATGGGTGAATAAAGAAAAAAAATGATAAAGGGGAGATACAGCAAATTACATGTATATTTTAAATACAATGAATGTGTATTTAATTAAAAAAAAAAAAAACCAAAAAAAAAAAAAAATCATAATTACACTTCATCTATGAAATCTTTTCAGTTTCAGTTCATTTACGTTTTATTTTTCCCTTGAAAATCAAAACACCCAGCATCTTGAAGGAAAAACCAGAGAAATTTCATCTTAGTGAGCACATTAATTTTCTCAAAGCCAAAGGAGATTAACACGTCCTGGTCGTCCAGAATACTTACTCGTCAGAATGTGAAATACCTAAAGCTAATTATCTATCTAAAGTTGTGCGACTCTTAGATCAGTTTACCCTACAATACCATAGCACATTTATAATCATCATTACATGTATGTGTATTTGCATATTTCAATTTAATCCTAGTCATGAGAACCTCTGTATTATAATAGATTTTACTTCTGTAGATGAGGAGATTATTCAGATATGATCAACCTATATCCTAAATATGCAAGCTTAAACTTCCTGTTATTCTCCCCGCTATTCCTTCTTGGGACGCCAAAGGACTCGCATCTGGTAAGTAGCTCTCTTTTTCTGACATATTTTTCGTTTTCATCTTTCCCCCGATCATATATAAAGACGTAAAAATCTAGTTTAAGTATCGATGGATAAGTTTTCCTGAGTTATGGAAGTAAGGGCAGCAAGTTACAATTTAACAAAGAGAGTAATACATGTATAAAGACACTGAAAAAAAAGTGGCCGGTGTAATGAGTCAACCCTCCATATTAACAAAATGGCATTTAAAAAAAATACTAACAGGTGTTGATTCAGTTACAAAGTTCAAGAAAACTTTTGAAAAGATGAACATGAACGGAAAAGAGATACGTTTAAATTTTTTTAGAATCTTTAAGAAAGGGATTTTCAAGTGTTTCCAGTGCATTACATGTATATACGACAATTTTCCTCTTTGTACTTCGAAAATCGTCACAACAGCATATGATGATAAGTAAACCATAAAAACCAAGTGAAGTAATGTCGAGAAGAATTAGTAATACAAGGTAAAATTAAAGTATAGAATGAGAAATGGAAGCCAAATATCAGAAGTGCGAGACAATTTTTCACGGAAAGAAATTGTTACATAAATAACAGTATTGTCAGACCGATATTTTACAGCGACACTATGAAACTGTTTCAACTTAATAACCCTCTATACACTACTGTAATATTTTTTAAGAACATCACGGAAAATATATATACTGATATAGGTGTAAATTGTTGGTCATCATCGGATGTCTATGGAAGCTCATATAGGACTTTTTCAAAACATGTGTTTTTTTTTTAATTCGAAATAATAATAAATATAAGAAGCAATTAAGCAAAATACGTATGTCATCCCATAACCTAGCTATTGAATATGGTCGTCACAATAACATACCAGTAAATAACAGATATTGTGAAATGTGCCATTTAGATATTGAGGATGAATTTCATCTTATTTTAAAATGCCCTCAATTTAGTGATATTAGATGTCGATATATCAAGAAATATTACTGGAAAAAAACCTTCAGTTTTTAAGTTAATACAACTGCTCAGTGTAAAAAACGTTTTAAGAACTGTGCAATTTAGGTATTTACCTCAAACATGCTTTTGAAGTATGTGAAAGTGTCACAAAATCATTTTCTGTCTAATGTATATATGGTCAAACTGTATATTACTAAAGTCTGTTACAATTTAACATACATATGTTTATATTACCATGCCACACAACCTTAATCTCTTGATGTTTGTTAACTCAATGCTATAAGATGTATGTCTTGGGCAATAAAGATTATATATATATAACCGATATGTTATAACAATTCGCTTTAACGAATTGTTGAGTTTGTTAAAACGAACTAATTCGTTATAATAGTTTTGTTGAGATCGTTATAGCAAATTTAATTTGCTATAATAACAAATTTGTTGAATTCGTTATAACAAATTAAAAAAAAAAGAAAGTTATGACAAACGAATTCCAAAACTTGTTACATGATCGAATAAAATTTGTTTAAGCGATTTCTTAAAGTTGTTATAACGAATTCATAATTATTTTTCTACAGACCCGAGTTGTTGAATTTGATTTAAAGAATTTAATTCATCTAACAAATTATAAAATTGGTTCAAAGGAATTGAATTCGGTATCAAATAACTAATACATGTATAGGGATTTTACGGAAGCCCATTTAAGGACCTATCAAAAATATTTTTGAATTCGATATAACGAATTGTCGAATTTGTTATTACGAATTTAATTCGTTATAACAATTTCTTTGAATTCGTTATAACGAATTCCATCTGTTGTAACATTTGTTGAATTCCTTTTAAGGTATTCAATTTTTTTTTTAACGAAATAAATTTGTTATAACCAATTCTAAAACTTGTTATAACGAATTGAATTCGTTAAAACTAATTCCTTAATTTGTTATATCCAATTCAATTCGTTAAAACTAATTCGAAAAATCGTTATATCAAATTCATATATTTTTCTTATAGGTCCCGATTTTTGAATTTGATTAAACGAATTTAATTCCTTATAACAAATTTTAGAATTTGTTTATACGAAATTAATTTGCTATAAAAAAATCTAGAATTCGTTTAAACGAATTTATTTAGTTATAACAAATTTTTGAATTCGTTATAACGGATTCAATAAATTTGTTACAACAGATTAAATTCGTTATAACAAATTCAAAGAAATTGTTATAACGAATTAAATTCGTTATAACAATTTCGACCATTCGTTATATCGAATTCAAAAATATTATTTGATAGGTCCTAAATGGGCTTCCGTAGGAATTTGTTTAAACGAATTAAATTCGTTATATGGCAATTTTTTAAATTCGAATTCGATATAGCGATTTCAACAAATCTGTTCAAACAATTGTTATAACAAATTTAATCTGTTAATTCTAGTTTAAAAAAATCAACAATTCCTTATATCAGATTCAAAAAGATATATTTTTGATAGGGCCTAAATGGACTACCGTAAATACCAGCCATTTACATCTAAGACTAATAAAATATGTTTGATTACAAAATAAAATTGAGTAATTTATTATTTATTTCAATTTATTTCACAGAATAACCGTAAACTTGCACCGAAAAACACGCCACACATATAAAAAGATCCTTCTACTGTACAAACATACTCGTGTGTATGTGTGTGTGTGTGCAGCGTGTATGTTAAACCACGTGTAAAGAGGAATGAGTGTTAAAGTGGATTTTTTTTTATTAACCGAGGAATCATTAACCCAAGTTTTTAATTACAGCCAAAAAAAAAAATGATTTTAGATTTTATGGATTATTAAAGATTTCAAAAAAAGAAATATATATTTGCTATTTATTCTTACCGCACTCAAAGGCCCTGCGTTACTCCTTAAATTACTTCTTAAAATAGATGTGATTCATATAAAAAAAAATTTAATAGATCGAGAATTGGGATATCATCTGAAAACTTATTAACTAAATTAATTTCATTATTTTAAATTGTTATTATCTAAAAGTACAAGTTAAGTAAATTCATTATAAACATTTTTATAATTAATAATTATTAGTAAATATGATACTTGATGAATATATCTTATCCTGTGCATATCTGCTCGGTATCTCTGATTTAACGAAATCATAAAAATAATGGCTGCAGTGATTATTGTGCTTCCTAACATCATTTGACCATTGTTTGTTATATTTTTTAATGATAATTTTTAATGAAAATGAAACCATTCCCAACTAGCCAAAACCAGTCACCTGTTACAATATTTATTTCAGAATTTTGGCTAAGTGGGAAGACACCATAACTTCAGGTACACAAATGTTAAAGAAGTTTTTTTTATTTTTTTTATTTTTTTATTTATTTTTTTTCTTATTTACCTGATTCGCTTATTAAAATTTACAAACAATGAATATAATTAAATATGATCAAACTTAACTATGTATAAAAGTGTATGTTTAGTTTAAATCAAAGCAAAAGGTGTATAAAATTATACATCGATTCATTGAAAAATTCTAACTCTAAACAGATCCAAGGGAGCTATATGAATTTTATATATATATATATATATATATATATATATATATATATATATATATATATATATATATATATATATATATATATATATATATATATATATATATATATATATATATATATATAATAATAATAATAATAATAATAATAATTTATGCATTTTAATGCTCCATTGGACAGGGGTTTCTTGGACTACATGTTAATTGATACTTATTGAAAATTACTGTTTCACATTAATTTTAATTTGTTTGTATACAAATCATTAATACATGTACAATGCATGTACTGCTGTTTGATGTGTAGATATAACAGATTTCTCCATACCTCTGAATAAAATTATAATCAATAATCTAAATGTATAATTATTTAATTTATTCAATTTTATTCTTTTAATCATTTTTTTTAAATCATGTAAAAATCGTATTTCATAATTGGTTGAGTATAATAGTAAATGTTACCGAAATATGTAAATCATTGTCAGATGTTTATTAGATGTTGCTAAAACGATCTAACAGTACGACTTTTTAAAATACAGATCAAGCCAAACTGAAATTTATTTTTGTATTTGGAAATTCCTCAACTATAAATAGAAGCTTCTTTCTATATATAGCACATTCCAAACTTTTAAGGATCATTAGAAAGAAAATGCGACACTGACAGTAGGGACAGTAAGTTTTCAACTTCGTCAAAGCAATATATTAAATCACTGTCGTGACGTTATGTAAGGAATCCGTTGCCTGGAGCGGAGTGGGGAGAATTGATACCCTATAGCTCTAAGGAGTATGAGTCAGCGGGGTGTTGCTAAAACGCGGAACGAAAAGAACAAAATCGGAACGGAACGGAATAAGAAAATTGAAGAAGGATCACTATAACTACAAAGTCTAGGCAATTTTAGTTGCGTGTACATTTCTTTCAAATAATAGAATCAATATCAAATAAAGCTCTAAAATATTAAACTTTATTTTAAAAAAACATTTGTACAAACCCCTTATTTAAAAACAATATTTTAAAAAGTCTTATCCTTTAAAATTCCAATAAAATTTCAATGTTATTAAAACTTGAAATGAAAACCAAATAAGTCATAAACAAAATGCTAATATTTATATCCCCAAAAAATTAAAATAAAATAAATTTATCAATAAATAAATAAGAATTTTGAAGTTCATAAAAAAGAGCTTGACGGGTTCACTATTGAACGCGTATATTCTGCAAACTTTTTGTAGTTTTTTTTATAGTCTATTTCTTAGCTATATGAATAAAGTATCTTCCATGGTTTGTGGTTGGACTTTTATCCAACGAGTTGTGTGCTTCTATCCTCAAGACTTTTCGAAGGCCTGGGATAAAAGCATACAAAGAGTTGGATTAAAATTATATCAAACTACAAACCATTGTAAAGTTCTTTTTAACATATGTTTTACACATAGCTTTAACATGTTTTACACATTTTTTATATCTGAATTCACTTCATCTAACTTTCAAAAACCATTGTGACATCACAACTGTCAAT